CCTTTGCAAGAAATTTGGAATTTGAATGCCTGCTTGCTTAGCTGAGGGGCCTGCATAGGCCATAACTCACAGAAGCAGAAGCGCTGAACCGTGCTCTTCAAAGATGAAAACTTAAGCTGCGTGCTGTTTGCATTTTGCATTGGTCCAAAGTCCAACAGACTCAAACTCAAAATCTAAATCATCTAATCATCAAACTCAAAATCAAACCAAGCAGACAAACAGACTTACAGATTCAAACTTCCGTCAGATGTCGTTGTCGTTGTTTGGTTCACTTGAGTCACGGCAGTCATGACGATCAGAAGTGTAATGTACTGTGTTGAGTGTAACGATTAACGATGTGTCTATTATTTTTCTGTTGTTAACCTTTGGCGACCTGTGGCCTACTTTATAATTCATTTGTGATCCGGATTCTAAAGTGACATAAGTGACATAAAGTCAGATTGACAATTGACAATCCGACAATCCTCTCGTGTTTCAACTTTTGCTCTCAGCAGGGGCAATAGGAACACCATTGCCCTCCGTGGGTGGGCAGCCAATGTTTGCATAGTGTCCTTTGTGGCTTGAAGAGCCATGAGTGGCAAGGCAGAGGGAGAGGCTGTGGAGGGAGATGGAATTTTGGTAATGGGTGGAAAGGGTGAGCACGGTGAGCCTTTTGCCATTGCTCCTGTCTCTTCTGATGGCTCCGTCTTTGAGACATGTGGCCAGTGTGACGAGAGGTATCAAATTGAGCCAGGCTGTACCAAGTACAAGCTCGTGGACCATTGCTATAAGTGCTCCTCTAGAAGTCGTTCTGTCACGAGCTCTACAAGTGACAAAGCAGTTCAGGCTTGGTTTCGAGGACTTCGCACTACCAATCCTGGTGAATATCGCAAAATTCTTGCTGATGCTGACCGTCAGGTTGCGGAGTCTACCGGGGCAAAGCTGAGCAACTTTGATTTGGCTCGTTACAGAGAAAGCAGCAACCAAATACGGGGAAGTCGGATGCAAGCCGACTGCAAATTGATGACCTTTCCTTGGTACAAGGATTGGTATCAGAACCAGGTTCCAGTTGAAGAACGCCTCACTGGCCCAGAGGTCCTTGCTGCATGGGAACGTTCCAGCCTCAATCTCTCTGACTCACTCTTTGGTTAATTACATAATTACATGAAACACCAATGTCACCATTGCAGCTGCGGGAATCTGATAGTTCGTGATAGATTGGTAATAGATCGTTGAAATGTGTTGGCAACTTCCACATGTATATTAGTTTTTGAGTTGTATTGTAGCATCATCAAAAGTCACATTTGTGTTACAGTAGTTTGACTCCGCAACTCCGCTCGTCTCTCAGGTGATATCAAAAACAAAGAGATATATCAACCTGAGAAGCAAGAGGACTGGGGCTGGGAACTCGGGACAGGATATCATATATCAAGTTCAAATCTAATTAGTGTAGCTTAGACACCAAGCTTTATCCGCCAGGCCAGGTTTGAATTGATTGAAGTTAAGTCCGCCAGTTGTTGTGGCTGCACGGCACAGGACAAGCGCACCGGTGATATCAAGACCGTCGATGCAGTTTGGGTCCAGATTCATCGGATGAAGAACAAGTTTGAGGAGACCAACAATACCCGCTCTGCTATCAGAGAACAGACCTCACACAAGCCGACCAAACAAGTGATTCAGGCCATCAACAAACGTGTGAGCGGCTTTGTTACTTGGTTTTGTTTGGCTGACATTTTGAGTTGAGTCGAGTGAGTGACTGTGACTGTGAGCAGTGAGTGTCTGACACTGAGTGTGAGTGTAATTCCATGGACAGTCATCTCTACCAGTCTACCTACCAGGTCAAAGGAAAATCACGTGTTTGTTTTGATTTTGTCGAGTGCAAAGTAAAGTGCAAAAGTGCAAATTGCAAAGTTTGCAATGCAATGCAGTGATGAAGCTTTGTTGCTTAGGTGCAGTTCGATCCCAATTCTGACTTCTACCGTTGTGACAACTTGGAGGTTTATGAACTGGGAGAAGATGATTGCTTTGTCACGAAAGGGAGCCAGGGGACTTCTTTGAACAGCAGGAGGAAGTCAGCAAAGCCCAAGCCGGAGAAACTCCTTGACCTTGGCCTACTCCGCGTTCAGTTCACGGGAAAGCTTTCATCTCACTACAAGTTTTGCCATGCAGCTTTGAAGCAGGCCTTGGATGCTGCGAACGACTTCCTGGGGACGCACAGCGACTTGCAAAGCCACTATAGTTCCCTGATTGCCAGCGGCATCAAAGAGGAGATGTGCTATATATGTCATTGTGACTCAATCAATAGAATGTCATAATTAGTTGAGACGACTCGAGATATACAATATTACTATATATATATATATTTCAAATGTAAATGGTTCATTGTTTTGAGTTTTGAGTCGAGTCAAGTTTAAGTTGGAATCTGACAAATATCGAATCTAGGGGACGGGGAGCCATGGAGAGTGAATCGAAATCACATGTCTTGTTTCAACGTAAACAAGCAAAGCAAAGCCGCAAAGCTTCAAAGCATTCAAAGTCAAAGCATAGTTGCTAAGCTACTGCCACTGCCTCTGACTCTGCTCATGTTTCACTGCTTCAGGACAGTGTGCTTTCGCAAAAGAGCTTGGGTGATTTTGCAGGCATTGTGAAGTGCTTCTATCCCATGCACACACGGATCGCAATTTGCGAAGCTGCATTTGGCACTCCCACTCAAGATGGTGACAATGGTGACACGGGCTCCAGCGACTTTGTCTACAGTGAGGAGGATCAGTTGGCGCTCACCAAACTGATCGAAGATGACCAAGTTATGTCACAGAACGCTCCAGATGCAGTTTGCTTGAGCTTTTTGAGGCGTGGTGATCTCTTCGACGCCTGCAACACTAGAAACGACTTCCAGGAGAAAGTCAAAGAGGTTTCAGCAAAGGCTTCATCTACAAAAGTTCTTGCAGCTGCCCTACGCAACTCTATCAAGGAAATTCAATCTATGATCAAGGTGCGCAGCGGGCTACGTCAAGTCGTGACGTGACATTCGGCGTTGGTGGGGTCGGAGTTGGATCGGTTTCGAATAATCCTGTGAGTTGCCAGGCAGTTTCAAAAGCAAAAGACTCGATTGCAAAGAAGACCGCAATGTCAGAGAACAAAGTTGGAACTTTGCACCTTGTCTTGTCTTGATTAAGATTAATACAAGTAGATATTAATACATTATAATAATATAATATATGATATGATTAATCTGATATGATATGATTAATCTGATATGATATGATGAGATGTTATGTATTGTGTCTCGAGTCTCAAGTGACTCAACTCAAGAAGTGACTCACGTGTCAGACGATTAAACATATTTAGAAATTAATAATCACGCAACACTGAATTGATAAAACTGTTCAATTCAAGTGTGTTCAAACCAATCGTTTGTTTATCATTGTTTATCTAATATCACAATGTAAATTCTTGGACCGATTCAAGTCAAGGATTGGCCGCGCAAACTTTTCCAAGTGTGTGGACGAGACGGACCCAGATGCCCTGAAGCATTTCAAGCATATCCTGGAATCACGGCCTATGCGTGTGGTTAAAGATGCGAAAGACCCAGAGGAATGCAAGGAACCACTCTTTCCGGATTCTCCGTTCATTGTGACATAGCTGCATTAGCATAATAATTCCAATGTCATGTTCATTTTATGGACTGATTCATGCCATGGCCATGGCCCATGCTAGACAGAATCAATAGATAAGTAGTTCTGTTACATTATGTACTTTTCCAACCCCTTCAAATCAAATCTCAGAGCCAGAGCCTTCAGCTCTGTGGAACCAAGGTCCGGAGGGGCAAGCACGTGATCACCATGTGCACCGGTGGGAAAGATGACGCAAAGAAATTGTTGGACAAATGCATTGCTGAGTTCCGGGACACCGTGAGGGGCGCCAAGGATAACCGGTCCTTGGCTATGATGAACTTTGCGGACCTAGCAACTTCTACGCAAAACATTCTCCACGGCCTTCTTCCAGTGGGATCCTGGCAAGATTGCTTGATTGAGGACCATGTGGGTTGGAATGGACACTACTTTAATTTTGGTCCAACCAATATCAGTCGGCACCGGCACCTTGTGTTTTCCTTCCTAGTATGTTCTGTTCTGTCAACAATAATTACTTGGCAGGATGACGCGTTCAAGGCAGCTGCCGAAGATATGGGCAGTGAGGGCAGCAAGAGCTTAAATGCAATCAAGGGATTGTGGCTTTCCGGTTCCAGGGAGAACACTGTCTATGCAGGTGTGGACGCACAATCGTTACCAACACTTCGGCTTCAGGTGACAGGTGGCAAGATGTTGATTTGCTGCTGTGCGCGGCAAGCTTCAGCCTATTGGAATACAGAAAGCCTGCCAGAGATTCGTTCGAAGTTGATGTCTCTGCAGGCCAAGTCCATTCCAGATGCCATTTCTTTCGAGTCCCTGAGCGCAGCCTTCATCCGGACAGGGGACCTAGTGTTCATGCCAGCTGGTTACATTGTGCTCGAGAAATGTGTCCACGACAATGACATTGGGATTAGGCAGGGTCTTAAACAACTTCGGTCTGGTCTGGTAGTAGTATCAGTCTATCGGTATCATCCGGATCGATGACCCATGTCCATTTCCGCTGGCAACGTCGGACGTCGGAAGGTTCTTCTCCCAATACGTCCCAGATCAATGCAATGCCGCGTTGCGATTTGTTGGGGAGCAGGCCAGTGTGCAGTCGTGAGTCGGAAGTCGTTCGGTCGGCCGGGTCGGGCAAGACTTCAAGTTGTGCAAAGCAATGTGTTGATTCGCTACTTGTTCATTGTTGACAATGCCTGGTGAAAAATCAGATTCACTCACTCTTAGCGTTTGTCACTTGTCCAGTGTTGAAACGTATTCAATTATGTGTGAATGAGGGCCCATGATGATGATTGATGATGGTAGACTAAAAGATCAAGTCCAAGTGTAATTTGTTATTTTTTATGGTCAGTGATGGCAGTGATTCCATTGTTGCATTCCTGGCCGCAGCTGCAGGTGAAATTGAATCCACGTACCGAGCTGTTCCTCAACGCACTTCGAGAAGTTCAAGTGCCGTCGGTGATCCCCGGCATCTTGGAGAAAGCTGCGGCTGATGCAGAGGCAGAGGACCTCGCTTCAGATCAGGAGTGGTTGGATCACATCGAGGGCAAAGGCGAGAAGCTCAAAGAGCACGACCAGACCGACCGGACCGCGCCACCACAGCAGTTGCCAAGCTTACCAAAGGACGACGACGATGCGGGATCTCAGCAGCGGAGGCAGGAATGGGCAGCAAGTGCGGCTGTCAGATACCAGGATATGTTTTTCAAGAAGGACGCCCCGGCCCCGGCGGCCCCGGCCCCGGCGTCCCCGGCGGCCGCCGACGCCGACGCCGACGCCGCGGCCGTGGAGTCCAAACCAGAGGCGGCGGCGGAGGCGGAGATGACCCCGTTGAATAATCCCACTCCCACTGAGACAATGGAGACTGCGGAGACGAAGTCTCAAGAAAAGCATCAGGATGAAGAACCAAAAGATCATGCGACTCAGGCTGCAGACGTCTCTGAGTTTAGTGTTGCTTATTCTTTTTGAGAGTAATGGATCATAGAATCATAGCAGATTATATATTATACATTATACATGATATATATATATGATCTTATATATGTCATTTGCTTTGCTCTCTGTTGTCAGTTGTTGTTGAGCATGGGCCTGGGCTGGGTCAGTTTGGGTCTGGGTCGGGGGTTCCGCGATTCGCGATCCGGGGTGGGGGGTCAATCAGTCAATCAATCCATGAAATAAAATCAAATCCAGTCTCAATCCAAGGATGGCCACATTTATTCTCCATCTGGACAGGAGCAACCGGAACCCGGCAGTGCTGCTGGCAGTGCGGTGGTGAAGACAGATGTTGAACAAGCTGCGGCTGAGGCGGCGAAGAAGGAGGCCGGAGCACCACCAAACGTGCCCTCGCAGTCGCAGTCATCGCAGCCGCATGAGGGTCAGTTGAAGCGCAAAAAGAACTCCAAGGAAAAGAACAAGGACAAGAAGCACAAAAGTGACGCCAGCGAGAAGGACAAGAACAAGAACAAAGAAAAGAAAGAAAAAAAAGACCAAGACAGCCGATGAAGAATATCCCAAGTTTCAGGCAGAAGACACCCAGACCAAGAGCAAGAAAAGGAAAATTCCACCACCGTCCCAAAACTTGAGCCAGATGTTCAGCAGGCAGCAGCAGCGGATGAGCGGCTGAGCGGCTTTTTTGGATATGAAGTGAAGTTCTCTGTGATTGCACTGCAAAAAATCGGTGTAGACAATATATTTAATAATATTTAGTATGCACATGTATACACTGTGACACCAGCCTTAACCATAAATTGGGTTATTTTGGATGTTGGCAGTTGGCAGTGTCATCGTGACTCTTGTGACGTTGCGACCCTTGTGACACGAGTGTTGTCACTGTGGTCACTTGAACTCAGACCGGTTGAACGCAAGGTGGGAAATACACAGAGTGTCCGTGAGTGTGCGGAGATGGTTTGCTTGCTTTGGTTCGAAGTTTCAACATGTCAACATGTATTGGTTGGAATATTGTTTAGTTTAGTTTGGCCGCATCGCAATATTCGAAACAAAACTTAATTTATGAATGATGGGGTTCAATAATCAGTCAAGTTGAATTTGAATCAATTCAGATGGTTG